GCGTCTCAGCCGCGGGCAAACTTAGCGTCGCCCCGCCGGGCACCCGTCGGTATCTCACAGTAGGACTCTCCCAAAATTTATTCTTGGGAAGACTGACAAGCGGGGTCAAGAAACAGCTGTTGAAGTTAATGTTTCTCCCTCCCACTCCGTCTGACTGTAGTGCCCTGCCAAGACAAAATGGATTAGTTAGCTAAGCGGCCCTTTTTTTTTAAATTTTATTTCTTATAACCCCCCCAGAAAAAGAGAGTTGAGGGAAGTGTGTGTGTGTGTGAGGCGACGGGGGGGTGAAAAAATCGCTTTAAACGTTTATTAAATCGGTTTAGGTTTTACCAGTAAAAAACCCTCCTTGGGGAAAAAAAACATTGAATTGTCACAGGTAAACTTCGATTGGCTAATATGTAAAAAAAGCTCCTTTAAACTTATGAAAATACATTCTTGTTGCCATTAGTACTTCGGAAATATTTTTGTTCCTGTTTGTTGTTGTTGTTGTTTTGCAATCTCTGGCCTTTTGCTTTTTATCAGACAATTTTGTTTTATCCAAATAATTTAACAGCTCTCTATCAAAGTATTGGTACTCTGTTTCTGTTGATCTTCTGTTGTTGTAGTATAGGTTGTGTAAGGAGTGGGTTCCTCACATCGAAATATCAATGCTAAGTCTCAGTTCTATTTCCAAGAACAGAAGGAACAGTTTTACACATCTATCATCTCAAACAGGTGTGGGAAAGTGCTGTTCCAGAGTGCCATCATTTCTGATATTGATTTTGGTCTAGGCTGGCACAGTGGCACAGCAGTTCACTCTTGCTGCTTCCTAGCGCCGGGGTCCCGGGTTCAATTCCCTGACCTGAGGTGCTATCTGCTATATGAAGTTAGTATGTTCACCCTGCGTTTGTGTGGGTTTTCTACAGGTGCCGCAGTTTTCTCCCACAATCCAAAATCATGCTGAGAGGTTAATTAGCTTCTGGGGAAAATTCGGTGTGAGGGTGTGCGTGCCTGTCTGTGCGTACCCTGCAATGGACTGGCGTGTTCTCCGGGGTGTATCCTGCCTGGTTCCAGAATAGGCTTCAGATCCTCTGCGGCACTACAGTATATCGGATCAAGTGGTTAGAAGATGGATGGATGGAACGTGCTGTCTGTGGACCGATTGTCCTTGCACCCTCCCAGACTCTAAAGATGAATATGACAGAGAGTTCATAACATCAGCCATACAGTTCGGGTCTAAGTAAGCACTCATACAAAATTCGCACTTCTAATAAAAGTAAGGTATTTAGTGATTTTCCTGCTGATTCAATATAAGAAATAAATATACAGGCACTGAAAGGCATGGCCATAACAACACTATCAATTAATTTAATTCAAATAGCAGCTTTCATCCTAAAACGATCATAAAGTGCCTCAGTTATAGCAGGAGACCCACTTCAAGTGAACTGAAGTGCAGCCCCGTCGAGGTGACACACAGCAGCCATGCGGCACAGCAGATGTGGAGGAGCAACGACGTTTCTTCCCCAATTCAAGCCAAATTGTGCAAACCCAGAGCAGAACCGAGCCAGGACACCAGGGTAACACCTGCAGGCTTATGAACAGGGCCATGGGATCTTTAAAGAACAGGTACCCAGGACCGCAGTTGAATATCTCATTCTGGGCCAGAATTTCCAAACCAATGCCCAAGTGTGGTGTCAGGGAAAACTGTCTTACAGGAGGTGCTCTCCCTCATCTGCCACATCAAACTGAGGTCCTGACCTTTAAGTTCCTTAAAGACCCCATGGGATTTAGCAAACCTAGTGCTCTGGGCTTGTCCAATCTGGCCTACCTCAATCTCCCCTTAGTCCCAACTGGCCAAGTCATTTCCCCATGTCAGCAATTAACCCACAAGTCTAGCTAAGCAGGCCTTTTTAATTAATTTATTCCTGAAGTGACCCCCCCCTTGGCAATTGAAAATCGCACTGTAATATGCCACAACTGAAGCGGGGGTGTTGGCGGAGGCTCATGGGTCAAAGCACGAGTCCTTGAGCTGCTGTAGAAGCAGCAGGCGGGCGTAGCAAACGGACAGGTCGCCGTCCAGAATCGTAGGCAGAGAAACCAGCGCAATTCTGCCCCGCAGAGAAGCCGTGGAGGTACAGGGGCATACCTGGGGCCATGGGCGGGGGGCAAAAGGGGGTGTCACCCCCTTCGACTGAACTGCCCCGCCCCCTCAGTTTTGGACGAAAGGATTTTTGAACGCTTTCGCGTACTTAACGTGCGCCCTAAAAAGTAGTCATGCTTTGTCAATGGTCAGATAACTGCACTAGCCCCGAATTCACCGTTACGGCATCGGACTGTTGGATGCGCAGGAGGGCTAGCCGTCCAGGAACATGGTGTCTACGTTATCGGGTGTCGGCATTATTACGATCTTGTTTGCTCAGGTGGACCGATTCCTTGCAGTAGTTTATCCTCATACTTATAGTCTTTATATAACTAGGACTGTAGTTATAGAAGTTGGTGCTTTGTGTTGGTTTTACAACTATTTTTTCCTAACGATTCAGAACCTTGTTACCGTCGATGAACGCGAAATGAACGCGTGAGGTATTTGGTCGCTCCAGGCAATAATAATCGCGAGAGTGCTGATGAATGTGAAACTGTACTTCATCACTAAATGCCAGATTGCTCGTCGTTATCTTCTATCATGAAGTACTAATCAGTGGCACAGTTGCGAGATTTCACTTGGGTAGTTGCACCGTCCCCCTCAGAATTTCAGATGCCCCCCTACAGATTTTTCCCCTGGCGCTGGCCCTGTACAAGGGTGTATCCAAAACAGAACTCAAGGAAGATTCAAAGCCAGAGTTGAGACATAGCAAGATCAGGAGTCTAGAATATAACATAGACAAAGCTAGAGAGCACAGCACCGGCTCTATAACAGAGACTCCAGCACTGCTCTGTTCTGTCTTAAACAGTTTGCTTCACCAGGAGTCGGGGGCTAGTGTGTTCACTCACAGGTGAAGCAAGCTTCTTGTTTAGTTCGGTTTCCGTGGCAACCAGCCTGATTGTCAGGTGGAAGAGGCGTGGCCGACAGACGCGACAGAACTAGCCTGCTCCACAGCGCCCCCACGAGGACGGGCCCGGCATTTTTTTCCCCCCCAGAAACGAATTCAAAAACACTGATCCCTTTTAGATTGGAAGTTTCTTCCTTGAGTATGCATAAGTACGGTCATCTTTTGTACTTTGCACAGAGCTTTACCACTTTCACATCATATCTTAATAATTTTTTTAGTTTTGTCTCAGTTTAATTGAATAATTGCATTTCAGAAACAGAGGGGGTCCCTTAACCCCTGATGTACCGTATATCTAACGGAGTGATCAATGATAAATTAAAACATATTTGGAAATGTTAATTATACTTTCACTCATTTTGTAATTAACTAGGGAGTATTGCCAGCTGGGAAGTAAGTGTCTTTTTTAATGGATCAGTTCATCCTCTAGCCAAGTTACATGAGTAAAATCCTGAATTTGTATTTCACATTCAACTTCATCATCACTTTATTTGGGTTTTTCTAATTACTGCACTGATCACCTATCAGATTTAGAAGTTGTTCTGCAGTTATAATGAAATATAAAGTATGAAGGGCTCTGCATCATCAAGACCCTTCTGTCACAGAGATGTTTTGTTTTATGCCGTATGTGTTCAATCTCACAACTAATTAAATAAAACAATAAAGCTATTCTCAAAGGTGTTTGATTTGTCTAATCTGACTGTGAAATAGAAAGATTTCTTAAATACAGATTGAGTGTAGCTTGTAACCTCTTTTGTATAACATTATACTACATAACAGTTTCTAGGAGAAAAAAATACTTTGAAATCTTAAATCAAATGTAGTACTTTCTGATCATATGTGACAGAGTAAGACAGTACACCTTTGATGCACTTTGATACCTTTTCTCAGAATAATACCTTGATGATTAAGAATCAAAGTACAACTACATAATACATAATAATGTCTAGTTTCTGTTAACATTAGTTTCTGTGGACTAGAAGCTGAAAGGTGGTGGTCTCCAGTTCTGGGTGGGAGCAGAGCTGTTGTGCTTTGAACAAGGTACTGTACTTGACTCACACAGCCTTGTTAAAGTACTCAGGGGTGTGAATGGGCACAAATGCAAGCTGCTCTGGATTAAGATACAGTCATAGCTGGACAAATGGATAATGCTCAGTTCTGAAACACTTTGTCGGTCCAGAGTAGCTCCGTTGTCTTGCCAGGTGTCGGGGGCCGGACAGTGACCACCGAGAAGACGACTCCCCTCACAGCAGCGATTTCGTGGGTGGCATGGCTGTGCTGGTACATGTAAGTGGTTCCAGTTGAAATGCTGTTTTGCGATAACATTACACATGCACAGCTTCAAGTCTTTTCCTGTCCACTGGCAACTCTTCAGTCATTTTTGTCACACAACCGGGATTTTCATACCCCAGTTTTTGAAGAAGCAGGAGAAGGCACAGAGAGGGAAGGAATCTTTCATCGATGTAAGTAAAGTGCATAATTGCCGTCTTTAACACGAGTTTCATACATCTCGTTACACTTGATGCGGCCATCTAAAAGATGCAGTAAATATCACTGCTTATGGGCCACCTTTCCGTTGCACAACAAAGGTTGCGCTTGCACCTTTAACACTGAGAGGTATTCAGATACCAATATGAAGTATATCAATATTTAAACAAGCCTCTCAGCGGTCTGCACCAAACACGGCTTGAAAAGAACTGAACAGTATCAGTTCTATTACACACACAAAATTACAGCCCAGACAGCTTGACAATTCCTAATCTACCTGGTTAGTAGGTCTGTATAAGAATCAAGCTCAGAAAAAAGAAATATTATCTGATATCA